TATTAAAGTATGAACAAGTTAATGCTTTTCCTTCCAGGTCAAGGCAAGATAAAGAAAATAGGTAAGAACATGCTCTGTAACTTTTGTGAATACTTCTATAGTGTATCCTTCTCGGATGCCCAGCTCAAGTCCCACAGCAGCTGAATAGAATCTCTCATTTCTTCTGAAATCTTTAACATTAATTTTCTGAAATACTTATTTTATGCTAACTAGGGGCTGCCTTCAGCCCTCAGTTTTTAGTTGATTTTCATATGAATATGTTTTATCTCCATAGATAAATCATAAAGTCCTCAAGCTTAGGAATCATACACATATGACATAAGGTACGTACATATGACAGTATGTCATATATATATATATATATACACATGCACCTTAGTCTATTCAGGCAGCTATGACAGAATACCATGGACTGAGTGGCTTATAAACAACAGAAATTCATTTCTTACAGTTCTGGAGGCTGGAAAGTCCAAGTTCAGGGCGCCAGTAGATTTGGTTTCTGGTGAAGGCCTGCTTCCCTGGTTCACAGATAGCTGTCTTCTCAGTGTGTGCTCACATGGGAGAAGCTCTTTGGAGTTGTTTCTAAGGGCACTAATTCTATTCATGGGGGCTCCACCCTCAAAACTAACCACTCCTCAAAGCCCCCCACCTCCTCATAGCATCTCAGTGGGAGTAAGGTTTTAACATGAACTTTGAAGGGATGCAGACCTTCCGTCTCTCTCTCACCTGTACCTATTACTTTTGGTATCAGAAACATCACCTTATACGGCTTGCCAGGAATGCAGGTTGGGGGAGGGTAAGAAATATTTTTGAGGAGTCGAATCTCTCTGCCACAGTCTCTTCTTTTGCACAAATATGCTAAATTTCAAATACTGACGAGACAAATTAACGTCTTTTAATATCCCCCAGTATGATCAAATGCAGTGATTCACAAAATGCAATCTTCTAGTTATTACCATGTTGAATCCTCACATAACCTCATAGGGAATAAAAATTATTAAAATACAACAAAGGCCAGTAACATCCAGTCAGTAAACCTGAGGCTAATATCTTTTCAGAGTTTTGTATTTAAAAGAATGCAAAACATATGCAATATATAAGGTTCTAGAAACTACAAAAACAACCACTTCTTCAGTATGTGATGTTATATTAAATTAATATTCAAAGAATCACTTTTGTTGCTTCATTTGAGGCATCAATCTAGCCAATACAAAAGTCTTTAGCAAGGAAAAACATCACTTTTTGTTGTAGCTGTAGCTGAGAAGGATAAATATATAAGGATGTCATTTGCTAAAAGGTAAGAGTCACAGACACTCTACCTTTACTTTCATTTCATGTAGCTCTGGTCAATTTCACAGCCTCAAACAGTGCTGAACAGGGAAATTGGAAAACGGCAGAATCGATTTGCAGAAGTGAAGTCCTATTTTCTTTTACACCCTTCTTCATCAGAATGGCTATCATTCTTGTGTTGTGTGGTATTATTATCGACAGTAGCCTGGGCACAGCCGATAATTGCTAGAAGTCATTCTCTTAAAGTGGAAGCAGGAAAAAAACAAGGAGCCTGTGCAATTTTCTCATCTTCTAAATTTGCTGCTTTCATGATCCTTCATTTTCGCTAGAATTTAAATGTAAAGACTTTTCTACTCTCAAACAACCATGATTACAACAATCTTCTTTGCTTTTGGTTCCTAGGTAATACAAATTAAAATAATAAAGCTCTAAATGTTTAATTTGAACTAAATAAATATAGGTCCCTCAAATATTCTGGTTTGCTTTTTCAATTTTCACCCTTCCTAAATTTTACTTTAAACTGTAAATATTTGAGAAAATTACTTCAGAGGACAATATAGCCTTTGGCTATTTAGTATCAACCCTGAAACAAAATCTCCTTTGTATTCTTAAAGATCATTGAGAATGAATGGTGTGGGACTAGTGGCTCAATTTTTACATCTTCCTATTCTGTTTTTTTTAAAATGCATTTCTAGTGATGAAATCTTTACTATGTAATGCCGTCTGCCAGTAGAATGGAGTCGATTTACAGTGTCATATAAATGGCAACCTTTAATTACGAATGTTCGCTTCTTTTTCCTACTTATATTTAGATTGCCCTTCGTTCTTTGTATTCTGCCTACCTCCAAATTCAGAAATTTGTGTGGGTCAAAGAATCAGAAAACTTTCTCCTAATCAATTAAACCATATCGCCAAGTCTGTTAGTCAATTAGGTGAGAATTAAATTCCAGAGAAAATTGGCCAAATTTCTTAAGGCTTTGACAGGTGGCTACAACAAAAACAAAACACAAACAAGAAAACCTCTATTTTAACATGTTTGAAAAGTTGCCACATAAAATACAGAACACTCAATTAAATTTGACTTTCATATAACACATGATATTTTACTTTAAGTATGTCCCAAATATTGCATGTTCTGTATTTTATTTTGCTAAACCTGGAAACTCGAAGGATTGATGCCTTTTTTTCTTAATACCATCAATATTGTGAGTAAAATCCCCATTGTTTTCATAAGTTAGAAAGCAATACCATTGAGCTCATAAAAAATGGAAATTTAAAGTTCTGAGTAAAAAAAATTAACTCAATTTCATCCATGCAGATCTGTGCATATAGGGTTTTCATAAATAGGAGTTAAAAGTGCATATCAACGTCCAATTGTTCCAGTTTCGAGGAAACACCAATTCTTATTAACTTGCATCGAATTATAGTATTTTGAGCTCTAAATTTTTCAGCAGACCTAGAGGACGGAACTGGATTGTTTTTCATCATCCTCTCTTTCTCTCTCTCTCAATCACAACTTAAATTCCAAGACCCTTCATCAAGAAGTTCAACTGCTTGATCTTTTCAGTGTTAGAAAAGCTATGCACATGGACTAAATATGTCTCTACTAAAAACTCCTTCCCATTCACTGATATCACTTCCTTACATTTCAAAGGTCTAGAAATAGCATTTCGAATGATAGTTCAGTTATGCCTTACATTTATTTTAAAAATATTAAGTATCTATAATGTGCCAGGCACCCTGTCAGATGCTAGAAACACAATACAAGTAAATCAAAACACTTCAACCATAAAATTTCTGTTTTCTTTCAAAAGGCTTGGAGCCTATGAGGCAGATGGAATTGTTATTCATATGTTACAGGTGAAGGAGCTAAGTGCTCAAGAGTTAAAGGATATTATCCAAGGCCCCACATTTAGTAAGTAAAGAGCCAGGGCTTCAGTAACCGTCCCTGGGACCAGGCTCAGGGCACGCTCCAATATTTCTTCAAAGGAAATCCCAGACTACTTATTATCTTAACCCCTCCATTTTACAGGAGCAAAAAGGAAAGCATCTTAAATCCCTCTATAATGTTCACGTGCACTTAAAAGTGGAACAGGTGTTCTCTGTGTGTTCGAGAAAAGCAAGCCATCAGTGGGAGTTAAAGATCCTGAGCAGCCGTTGTAACCAGACGAAGTTAATTTGTGGAAACCGGAGCACTCAGCCAAGGCGATGCTATTTCAATTGGGTGTCACAGGTGACTCATCAGAGATGGCTTGCTTTTGGGCCTCCTGATATTTTTCTTCAGGGTGGGGTGTCAGATTTCCTTCGCATTTTTGGACAACAGCCCTCCTGTCCTTTTCCATATTTTTCTGATCTCACAGCCCTCACGCAGAGCCCGCTTTCATACCGGAAGCTAGTCATTGGCAGAAGGTTTAGGGAAGAACAAGGTAAAAAAAAAAAATGAACCAGGGGCCTGGAGAGAGGCCTAAAATGGGGAAATTCGCACTTCAAGAGCTTTCCCTAACCTAGCCCCTCGGAATGACAGCTCTCCTCAGCCAGAAGACTACCTCTCCCGGCAGCCACTGCGCGCTCCACGGACACAGGCTGGCGGACTCCTTGCTCCCCACCTCCGCCAGCACCAGCCAATAGGAATCCCCGGCTTGGGCCTCCGCCCGACCCGGACCACGCGGGAGCAGGGGCAATAAAACTACATTTCCCGATGCACCTGTGCGCACCTCGTGGCCAATTGGCGCCCGGAATTCAGAGGCTAGGGGCGGAGCCGGATGCATGGGCCACCCCATTGGCTAGGGGAAGCTTAGAAGAGCCGGAACCCGGGAGAGAGAGAAGCGAAATGACATTTCCTCTTTAAATAGCTGGAGCCGGGGCCCCGTCGAGAAATGGCCGCGTCGGCAGGTGGGTCGCGTGGTGGCTAGGGAGGTGTGTTGCGGGGGAGGTGGGCCGGGGGCCAGGCTCATGCTGCGAGCTGAGGAGGTGGTGATGCAGAGTCGTAGAGAAGGATGGAGAAGTGGAGAAGGATCAGGGGAAGGAGGATGGATGGCGTGGAGGGCGGTGGGTGGTCCGGCCGAACAAGGATGGGGAGGCCGGGTACCCGTCGCCTCTCCGACCCGTTCGGGAGGCGGTTGAGTGGGCACTGGCGGCCGCCATCCATCGAGCTTCCCTCGTGAGGCTCCTGCCTTCGCTCTGGGCTGTGACATTCCGGCTCTCGGCGGAGTCGCCGCGGACACCTCGCATGTTCTGCTCGCACGGTCCCTCCGCGAGCGCGGCATCGGGCTCGCCGGGCTCCCGGACGAGCAGGCTGGTGTTTGAACTTGCATCGCAGCTCGCTCTCTCCCAGATCCTACCTCGCGCTCCCATTTGGTGGTGTATGTATACATATATCTATTTTTATAGGGGGAAAAAAACAAGCCAAACAAACAAACAAACAAATCCGCGACGCCGTAACTGGCTCCGAACTTCTTGTGGTTGTACGATTTTTCTCCTCCTAGATTTAAGTAAGTCTTCCCCAACACCGAATGGGATTCCATCTTCAGACACAGCCAACGATGCCATGGACCCCTTCCATGCTTGCAGTATTCTTAAGCAACTCAAAATAATGTACGATGAAGGACAGTTGACAGACATTGTAGTGGAAGTGGATCACGGGAAAACATTTTCCTGTCATAGAAACGTTCTTGCTGCAATCAGCCCTTACTTCAGGTATGATGATGGTAGAAACTTCTGTTGATATTTGCACTGAGTTCCCTTTCTCCCTCACTATTGCCCACTTGATTATTATATTGAGATGCGACAGTGAAATGAAACCGATGAGTTTCCTGGAAATAGATAATAGACCCTATTTTATTAAGCCCTTGTTTTTGACTTGATGGATTCTTCCAGAATTCAGGAGGTTGGTTTTTAAGTTAGTGAATATGCTTTTGTTCGTTTGTTTCAGGTAAATGACCAGAAAATCTAGAATTGCGCTGCCCAGTATAGCAGCCACTAGCCACATGTGGCTATTTCAACTCCAATTACTTAAAATTAAATAAAATTAAAAATTCCATTCCTCAGGCATACTAACCACATTTTAAGTGCTCAGTAGCCACATGTAGGTAGCGGCTGCCACATTGTACAGCCCAAATATAGAGCATTTCCATCACTGAAACTTTTATTGGACAGTGCTCATCTAGAACTGTTTTCAAAAATTTATCCATAATGTATGTTTCTTTAATGCATGTAACTTTTTTAGAGTTTAAAACATAATAGCCTGTTCTTTAGTAACAAATTACCATTGGATAGATTGTTTTAATGCCGTGGGGTAAAAGAAATAAAATAATAATGAATATAGTTTCTATGTGCGTTAGGCCTTAGACTAGTGATTATTTCTAAGATATTCAGAAGTATTTTTAAGCTAAGTTTTCATTTTCATTTATATTCATCTTTGTGTATCATAAAACTTTAAAAAGTAAAATTTCAAGACTTGGGTCTCAAGAATAATTTCATACTCTAAGAAAAGATCAGTGATAAGGGCAGTTTCCTGCTTAAGGTTAACTTCTCATTTTGTTTCAAACGCTCACTTTTTTAAGCCTTTCAATATTCAAAAATGGTGCAGGAATGAGAGTGAAATAATTTCTCAGTCACACTCTAAATGTGCTTTTTCCTTTTGAAGGTGCTTCTCTTTATAGGGCATATAGCACTGTAGCGTTCCAGACAGTAGTTTCTCATTCCTCTTTCTCAGAATACTGGGTTAAATATAGTCGCTTCAGTCTAATGCTTGTGATGTAACCATTTAGACTTGCCTAGGGTAGGTCACTGGACTATTAAGTATTAACCGTCATGAGGCAGTGAGCTGGAAATCAAAAAGAAGAAACTCTTGTTCACAGAAGGTATGAAGTTTGGCCTGGTAATGGAAACTGCTGGTGAGATTCACTTATCCAGACTATTCGTTAGATCTCTTTGGGTCATCTATGCATTTAAATCTATGTCACAATTACTATTTATCAGGCTCTGGGCTGAGCTTACTTTACATATATTGCTTTATATAATTTTTGCAATCCTGTCTTTGCACAGTTGTTAGTCCCGTTTTACATGTGAAAAAGCTGAGGCTCAGAAACATTGTGAGCTGACCAAATCATTTGTCTAACGAGTAAGTGTCAGAAGCCAGATTTGATTCCACAGCCAAGCTTCTTAGTCACTATATAGCTTTTAAGGGACAAGAGTGGGTCTTCCTTAAAGTTGCCTTTCAGAGGTTTTTATTGTATATTACATTTGAATAGTAAAAATAAAATTAAGAACCATTGAAACTTCAAAGTGAACATGTTATAACTTACTGAAATTTTATACTCTGGCTTATATTATTTAAATATCAAACTTAATTAAAATGAGTTCTGAAGACCCAGACAAATCTCTTCAAAAGAAGTGTGCTACAATAGATTTTCTTAATTTCCAAGAAGTTTAGGAAATGCTTGGAAAACTTTCTAAAGATAAGATATGTGAATTCAAATAAAGATATTTGACTAGAAAACTTAAGGATTAGGTTCTTATTTCTTGTTAGAGGTTTTTGCACAGAAGTTTCTTGGCACCAGTGCTGCTCCTTATGTGAGATCTAGAAGGTCATACTTAATAGTTTCTAAGTCTTGCATCACTTGTGGAAGAATTAGAATAGTTTGAAATCTGGCATGGCTGTTTCATGATCCCAGTGACTTGTCCGAATTAAAATTTGTATGATTATTAGGAATTTTTTGCTGCTCAGGATTTTGTGTGAGGGTGTGCTCCCACTTTATATAGAGTTTACAGAAAGAATCTATTAGAACAGGAGAACTCATCAAGTGTCACACTGCTCCTGTGTGTAAGACCAGCCTAGTCAAGTCAATAGGAGTTCCCATGTGGTAATGTCCTCCGTTGGGAGTTAATCTGTGCCAAATGAAGGGCTTTATTTTTCTTTTTAATCGGTAGCTGTACAGCTGGGTTTTTCAGCACCTGAATTGAAAACCAGTTCATACCTTGGAACATCGTTTTCAGTCATTAAAAAAACCCCGTGTGATATTGAACTTAAGATTTACATTGTAGAAGTAAAACTAGGGTTCAAAGATGGCTAACCCAGGCAGCAGGCTGAGTCCTTGTGTCTTTGTAGGCCTCCACTATTTCTCATATATCATTTTTAAATTAATTTCATATGTTTGATGGAGACTTCAAAAATGACTGGAAATCTTGCTATTTAAGGATGTTTTCCATAACATGGCACTTAAAAATAGGAGGGGTCTGGATGTGAATAATCAACTTTATCACCAATATTAGGTCAATTTCTTCAATAGATAGCTATTAAGTATCTTAGGGCACATGGCCATTTTCTCAAAAGGCTTTTAAAGTAGCTTTTGATTTTTCTTTTTTTCCTCCCCAAAGCTCCTGTACATAGTTGTATATTCTGATTGTAGGTTCTTCTTGTTCTTCTGTGTGAGCTGCTGCCACAGCATGGCTACTGACGGACGAGTGGTGTGGTTCCACACCCAGGAGCCAAACCTAAGCCAATGAAGTGGTGCTCGCTGAACTTAACCACTAGGCCATCAGGGCTAGCTCTTGATTAGATTTTTATATTTAATTTGAAGAACAGCCTAGAAAGAAACCTTATAGGAGGGAAAAGAAAGGCAAATGATGTTTGTAAATGACTAATACTTAAATAAAGAGCCAAGCTTTTGGATACTTAATGTTTTGGCCAAGAAAGTCCCATAAATGCAGAGACATTTTAAATCTTAAAAAGATAAAACCAAAAAACCCACCTTGGTCTCAGTGGCGAAAGTCTGGGATTTAAAAAACCATTATCTCCAAAGAATTAGTTAATTCTTAAGCTACCCTTTGAAGTAGGCTTTATATTAGCCCTACCATAATCTTTATTTATATACAGAAATAAATAGGTAAAATATGGTAACTGAGAAAATTAAGGATATTTCTTTAAGCAAAGATTTCAAAAATGTCCAAGGATAAGTGAAATGATGTTCTTTATATTCCTTAAAATAATTAAAGAAGCATTCAAAAGATAATAGTTATAAAAAGGAGTAGGTAGAGATGAACTTCTAAAGAGCATATTGTTTCTTCTAAGATGAAGTTTTTAAAGATATATTTTGGGCACAAGTTGCCTTGTAAATTTCCACTGAGACATGAGAAGTTTTACTGGACAGTCTCTGTATGCTAATGTATCACATTGACACCCTCTGCCTACTCTTTAGCTGTCTAACTGGTCTGGTGATTTAAGATCTCAAGTCCCTTAGGCAGCTTGACCAGAAGCTGGATAGCGTCTCCAAGGAACATAAGGTGTCCTGGAATATTCCATGCCACTTTTGGTGTGCTTTAATTAGGTATACTCTCCCTTTCTCAGAGTTGGTACAACGTGGACGTCCTGAGAATGCACTTTTTGAGATTAGCCAAAGTAAATCCTTCCAACTTATCTGCATTCAGAATATCAAGAAACACATTAGGAAATATTTTTCACTTTCAGAAGGTTATCTTTGTGGTAACTTTATATTTTGAAAAATTCACCACAATAGTTTTTATTTGTAACGCACATGTAATAGTAAGCACTCTTTCCTTCCTAGATCCATGTTCACTAGCGGCCTTACAGAAAGTACTCAAAAGGAAGTTCGCATAGTCGGTGTTGAAGCTGAATCTATGGATTTAGTGTTGAACTATGCCTACACCTCCAAAGTTGTTCTGACAGAGGCCAATGTTCAAGCCCTGTTCACTGCAGCTAGCATCTTCCAGATTCCTTCCATTCAAGACCAATGTGCTAAGTATATGATCAGTCATTTGGACCCACAAAATTCAATTGGGGTCTTCATCTTTGCTGATCATTATGGTCATCAGGAACTCGGAGATCGATCAAAAGAATACATTCGTAAAAAGTTTCTATGTGTCACCAAAGAACAAGAGTTTCTCCAGTTGACAAAAGACCAACTGATAAGTATACTTGACAGTGATGATTTGAACGTAGACCGAGAAGAGCATGTTTATGAAAGCATTGTAAGATGGTTTGAACACGAACAGAATGAAAGAGAAGTGCACCTTCCAGAAATTTTTGCCAAATGCATACGTTTTCCTCTGATGGAAGATGCTTTTGTAGAGAAAATTCCACCTCAGTTTGCACAGGCTATAGCCAAAAGCTATGTAGAAAAGGGACCATCCAATACCAATGGCTGTACACAGCGACTTGGAATGACTGCGTCTGAAATGATCATATGTTTTGACGCTGCCCACAAACACTCAGGAAAGAAGCAAACAGTGCCTTGTCTAGATATAGTCACAGGAAGAGTGTTTAAACTATGCAAACCACCAAATGATCTAAGAGAAGTTGGGATTCTTGTATCACCGGATAATGACATCTACATTGCAGGAGGGTATAGGCCGAGCAGCAGTGAGGTGTCCATCGACCATAAGGCAGAAAATGATTTCTGGATGTATGACCATTCCACCAACAGGTGGCTGTCCAAACCATCCTTGCTGAGAGCCAGAATAGGCTGCAAACTGGTGTATTGCTGTGGTAAGATGTATGCAATTGGAGGTCGTGTTTACGAAGGTGATGGGAGAAACTCACTAAAATCTGTGGAGTGCTATGACAGCAGAGAAAATCGTTGGATGACTGTTTGCGCAATGCCTGTTGCAATGGAGTTTCATAATGCTGTGGAGTACAAAGAGAAGATCTATGTTTTACAGGGTAGGTACCTAGGTGATTTAGTTTCATGAAAGGGTAACAGGTCAAATTGTAGTTTACTTATTTATACTAAAACAGGTGTTTGTTGCCATTAATTGAGGTATACCTCTGGCTTTCTTATCATAAACTATTTGTTGGCACAATCTGTTCTTTAAAGGACCTATAAAGAAAATAAACTTTTCAATCAAAAAAGGCAGGTATTTTTAAGTTACTAAAGTGATCCTGTAAGATTTTTATATCGTTGAGTTTTGACATCACGTGGAATAAGTATTTTTGAAAACTTTCTTTAATAAATAATAGTTCAGCATTTTGGGAAAACTATTTCAGAGCTGTTTTTAAGACTTTAAACAAGAAAGCAGGCTTGAAACATAACTTTTTTTACTCTTCAATAATATATAATCAAGAGATATTGTAGTGACTACTTTTCTTATGGGACTTTTGGGATTAGTTTAAAAGATAAAAAAGAACAAAGCATCAACTGAAGTGATACTATTCAGTTGCCAAAGAATTTTGTGTAAGCCTTATGATTACAAAGTTTACAAAACTTAATTACACAGAGTTTGAAATTACAGTCTTAAGATTCTAATTTCACTGCAGTTTATGTTGCCTTCCATAATACATTATTTTCAGTGAAAAACTTTGATGTCACTTTTTTTTTTTACTTTTACCTTTATAAGAGGGACTATCTAACATACTTAGGTTTTTTTTTTTTTTTTTTGACTATTGAAGATCAGTACTCTGGCAAAGATGATACAGTAGAAGTAGAAAGAGTGACCGAGTGAGAGTAAATAAGACGTTTGATCCAAAGTTCTGATTTGTGATAATTAATGTTTTCCTTATGTTTGGTTTCTTGCAAGTTTTAGTTGCTTGAACGTTGAAGGCAATGTTGATAATACCAGCATTGTTATTCGTCTTCTGCTTCTTAATTGCTTATATAGAAATATTTTCCTCACACTACTTCAATAAAACAAGGAAAAAGGGGTAACTTCTGTGTAGATACATGTGATTTTTTAGCTCTTATCAAATTATATATTTTTTAATTGTTTTTTGCTCAAATCCGTTATTTGACTTTAAATTTCCTAGAAATGCCTGAATCCGTTTGTTTGAAGTTCAATATAAAATTGATTCTCCAGAAATTAGTAGTAGTAGTAGTAGTCTCTAGTGCCTTATTTTAGTTAAGTAGAAGCACAGGCTTAATTTGGGTTTGTTGGTTTTGGTGAAAACTGGAATATAAGAATGGATGTGTAATCTATTGAGTATGGTTGGATAGGTTATTATCACCCAATATGATGAACTCTCTCTCTCTATTTTGGTCTTATTGGTTAACCAGTTAGTTGATAGAGATAGAATTAATTGTAAGACTCCCAATTGGAAGGTAAAGATTGCGTCTTATTGTAAATATTAAGCAAAGGCACAATGAATTAATAGAACTTCAGAGTTGGAATGAACATTGTTTAATCTGAGGTTGCATTTTATATAAGAGGATCTGAGACTCTGAGGGTTTTCTTAGTTGCCCATCATTGGTTTTAATTTATTAAAGTGGACTTCAGATTTTAAAAATCAACTTTTTTGTGTGTGTCATCTTTCTATAAGAAATTTGTGGAGAGGTGGTACACTTTAGAAAGTTTTAATTCTATCTTTTTTATTAAGAATTCTGTTACAAGTTAGTGATGTGCAAGCAAAAGCTGGTTTAATAAGCTATTTTAAGGAAAATTGAAATTAAAGCGTCACTATTATCATGTAGACAGTTAAATTTGTAGATAAGAGTAAACCTAGTTCAAAACAGTTTTTAAGGGGAAGCTCAGTTTAGAAGTAGGTATTTCTAATCTAAACAAAGCCTCTTTATATAAATAAACTTGACATGACTAGTTGGAAGCTTCTGTTGTACTATCTGTGGCTTTTGGAGTATCATTAATCTGTTCATAAGGGGTTTCAGATTTTTCTGACAAAGATTTTATACAAATGTTATAATTAGTAAAACTCATAAATCTTCACTAGTTTAATTCTTTCAGACATTTTTATATTGACAGTCTGACTCAGCATACACTTTTATTGTCAAAATAGAAGTGAAAGTGACTCAGAGTCAATGCCATAAACCACATGTGTGTTTTCTATCTTATTAAAACCACGTTTTCCCCTCTTGAACACTTGTCTTTGCATTATAGCGACAGTTAAGGTAAACACGTCCGTGGCCCATGGACAAAACTATGAACGATTCCGTGTACTATCTTCTAATTAAGTAATCACACAAATTTATAGTGGCCTGTTTATGATGAAGCTACATATATATTTGTATCTTCCTGGCTAAGCATTAGTAATAATGCTTTTTTAGAGCTGGCTTAAAATAAATTTTCTGAAATATACAATTGGATAGAATAAATGGAACCAAGCTCTTGACTACTATTCTGCCATCAAGCCAAAGTAACTCCTCACACCTCCCCAGTATGAACATCCAAATTTAGATTGACTATAATATTATGTGTTATGTCATACCATGGAATGAAGAGCTTTTAGGTTATCTTGTAATCTCATATTTGGTGTATCTCTGGAGATTATAAAAAAAATATTTTAGAATGGAAATATTTGGAAAATTATGCTCTTTAGTCTTCAACATAAAACTGAAAAGAGACATGACAATGTACATATTCTTGTTTTCTTTTTTTTTTAGGAGAATTTTTCCTCTTCTATGAGCCTCAAAAAGACTACTGGGGTTTTTTAACCCCCATGACTGTGCCTAGAATCCAGGGCTTAGCGGCTGTATACAAGAACTCTATCTACTACATAGCTGGAACCTGTGGAAATCATCAACGCATGTTTACTGTAGAAGCCTATGATATTGAGCTCAATAAATGGACTCGTAAGAAGGACTTCCCATGTGATGAGTCCATAAATCCGTACCTTAAACTGGTACTTTTCCAGAATAAGCTCCATTTATTTGTTCGAGCTACTCAAGTGACTGTTGAAGAACACGTCTTCAGAACCAGCAGGAAAAATTCCCTTTACCAATATGATGACATCACTGACCAATGGATGAAAGTGTATGAGACCCCGGATCGGCTCTGGGACCTTGGCCGGCATTTTGAATGTGCTGTTGCTAAACTCTATCCTCAGTGTCTTCAGAAAGTCCTTTAATGAGTAGCAGGCCTTAGAGAGCTTACTGGCATCTCGCACTTGAGGAAACTTAGTCTTACAATGATATAAGAAGTGCTGTCAGTATTTAAGAAAGCTGAGAGAGTTTACACTCTACGTGGAAGTGGGCGCTCTTAAAGATTACAACAAAGGGAGGGATTTCTTTTCATCCTTGTGGTGTTTTCATTTCATTGAGCAAAAGGTAACAAAGTGCAATTATCAGCATTTTTTTTTTCTGGTATAAAAGTAATCATATCATTCTAGAAGTTTGTGATAAGTAGTCTCTAAGATACCAGATGAATTGACAACTATGCACTCTTATAAGAGCAGTTAGGGTATTATTGGTTAGGGACATCCCAACTAGTTTGATGTGACTTGTTATTTTAAATACGGGTAAAAATCTGAGGCAATATCACTAGGACTTTAGCTGTGACCTCTCCGACACAGAGAAGTACGAACTTAGATCCTCATTCTTAATATATATATTTGCGTACCATTTTCAAGTGTACTGAGCTTTAAATGTGTTCTGTTATTAGAGTAGATAGAAGGAAAAACCAGTCTCAGAAAAAGCTTTTGGTCTGATTGTTTCATATTTCCCATGGAACTTTAAGTTAAGCTAAAGTTTTAAAGTAGCAGTTTTCTGTTAAGTTTTTCACGTGCTAACACTGTCTCATTTTTAACAATCTCGAAAAGGCCTCAAATTCACAGGTGGCTGGTGCTAGTATAAGTTAATTCATGTGTTTAGCTAGATAGATTTAAATTGTCTGAGCCTGTGCTTACCTTTTAAATTGGTATGTTAGTTTTGTGGCCATAGAATTTTACCTGTTGAACTCTTGTGATTTCACAAGATCTCTACTTATGGAATAGCAAGATATGGCCACTTATTGGTCTAACTGGATCACTCGCAGAGTAGTGAGAACATTATACTCAGTTTGCACTAACACAGGCCATTTTGTTGCCTGACCTCCTTTTCCATCCTCTACCTGTCAAGTCATTATCGGTACAGTGAAAGGTAATTTATTTCTCTTCTGCACAGAGCATAATGTGAAGTTGTACACCTTCTTTTAAAATTCTATTTTCCGGAAACATAAAACTCCTGCAGTGGTCTAATTTAATGGTTTTTAAGTTACATATGACAATTAAAACCTCATTTTCTGTTTTCATTTTTTGCACTTAACAGTGATGAATATTTTTACATTAAAAAGCTTGTTCTAGCTGAAGGTGATTGAGAAGGAAAAGAGTGAGTGAAAAGAACCATAGCATTATAAATCACTTTTCATATTTAACTGGTGAGTTTCTAACAATCAGTTAGGAATATTAACGTGAAGACAAACCAAGTCATTTGTAACACGTAAGGCAGATATTTGGATGAGTAACTTATTTTTTTACTATGCCTAGAATAATTGCTAAAGGAATAAGTATAGCACAGAATCTGTCCCGGACTAGAACATTTTGATTCTCTTAAAGAAGGCGAACTGGCATAGTTTGTGTTAAAACTCTTGCACCAATTGTAATGTGATACTGTGACACCAATTTAAAACATTGCCTCTTCACATCACATACCTCGTTTTTCAGAAACTTTCCAAACTGCTTGTCCTAGACCTCTACAAGTAGGGAATGTTTTCTGAAGCAGAATTTAAAGTGGACAGCATTTACAGAATGAACATTTTAAAATCTAGTTTTGGGAAGCTAGATGTGTGGTTTCTTCTTATTGACCTTGATAGTGTGTCTATCATCTCTTTATAACTCTGTTAACAAATAGCCTATTTTTTCTCCCCAGTTTTTCTCTATCTTCTGTTTTCTTTCTCTCGAGTTTTTTTGAAGCATCTTTACAGTGTTGCATTGCAGAGGGGAGGAAAAAACAAAAATAACTAACTTTTGCAAGAGATGTTCATGTAATTTATTTTTGAAAGCTTTGTTGAATATCTAAGATTTCCTGCCACTTCCTGACAATCTTCTGTATTTATTTAGAAAAATGTGTTACTTGAAAACATGACTAGGACATTGTGTTAGTAATTTCATGTGCCGGATGATATATAGGAGTACAACGTACTGTGGGTAATGCTACAGTAGATTTATTCTGTTGATCTGCACAACAGTTGATCCTTTTGCTATAACAATTTATATTGAGGGTGTGATCTAAGTATAGCGTGTCAAAGCCAAGGTTTAGAATTTGCTACGAGAGTAGAATATATATTGAATTTTGTATGAAGAACTATTTGTTTATATAACTGGGATATTTTGCCACTTTTAAAATGATTTCAGAAGAAGTCCTAGAAGACTAAGATTAGTAATCTGTGTGGGTATGTGTTTAGATATTTAAGGTACATTTGCATAGTATGATGCGAATATAAGTAAAAGGCACAATGGGTACTAAAGAATTAAAATATAGGTCTACCATATGCCAGTCCCACTTCACCTTTATTTTTGCATTTGAAGAATGTATGTAGCACTTTCCTATATGTTTTTTACACATTGAAACTGGACTTGATATAACTATGCTATAGGAAAGTAGAAATTGTATTCTTGATTTCCCATCTTTGTTTTTTTGTTATCCTACAAAGTTGATGCTTAAGCATTAAGCTGATTTCATTGGTGCATGAGAAAAAGTGGATGTGATCTGCCAGGAATCAGATTCCCTATGTGAAGCAGTTTAAAATGGCATTCAATGTTCAGTGCTCAGGTATGTAGTAAGTACTGTAGTCCTTTGGGGGCAAATGTGTAGATATTTTTAAACATTTTGCCATAATTGCACAATTTTTTGCATTTTTACCTGATGGCATTGTTTCTTATAATAATAAAACCTTTTCTGATTGAAAACTTCTGTTGTTGTAAATTGACCTCTGACTAGTGAGTTTTGTAGAATTAAAATTTGGAGGAAATCATGAAATACCTTATGTCCTAGTGGAATGAAATGAGATTTTAATCTGTCAAATATTGGGCCTCTGGTACAAAATGAACTAGTTAACATCACCTTATGTAATGCTCTTTGAATTCTAAAGCAGGCTCACTTATATTGGTAATTCCTTTGTTCCTTTTCTTCTGGCTTACACTTTTGTTATTCCATGCCTCTCTCTCCCACTTCATAGCTAATCCATCAGGAAATCCTGTTGCCTCTTCTTTCAAAATATATCTAGACTCAGACCACATACTACTTGCACCACCATCACCCTAGTCTAAACTAGCCTACTTTGTGTGCCTTCTATCACCCTTGACCCCTTGTAATCTATTCTATTCTCTGCACAGTAGCCAGAGTGATCCTGTTAAAACATAAGTCAGATTACATCCCTCTTCTGCTCAGACCCCTCCAGTGGCTTCCCGTCTGCCTTCATATGAGAGCCAGACTCCTTCCTTACGTGATCTACACCTCCCAACCCTACCTTTTGGACCTCATTGTCATTCCATGAGCTCACTCTATTCCAGCCACACTAACTGCTGTGCTCAAACATGCCAAGCACCTCCAACATCAGGGTCTTTGCCCTTGCTGTGTCTCTTGCCAAGGATGTCCTGACAACTCACTTACTTTATTCAAGTCTATTAAAATTCCAGAAAGGCCTTCCCTGACCACTTTCTGTAAGACAGAACACCTTCCTTCCAGCTGCACCTCCACCCATACCACCTATCGTTTCCTACTTCATTTTTCTTCTATCTTCCCATTGAAATGTAAGCTGCACCAAGGCAAGGAATTTGTTATTTGCTATGCACCTCACATCAGTGCCTAGCACATGGTAGGCACTCACTTAATGTTTGTAAGAAGAAATGAACTTTCAGTTAAGTCTTAGAGCACTCTGAGAAGTGGTAGGACCAGTACTGTCGGCTCTGTTTCATCAGATAGAAAACACAAAGACCCAGTGCATTGCTGAAGGTCATTCAACTGGAGAGTCTCATCTGGGATTAGAACCAAGATTTCCACTTTCACCTCAACCTTGTTGCTGCATGCTACATTCGCTCCAAACAAAACTGATAGAAAAGAGAGATGCTCTGTATTTTGTTCTTAATTTTAGACTCCTGCCTTTTCCCCCAACATTATTTAAAATATTGACTGTAATTTGTAACTGTGATTGATTCTCAACAAGAAAGTGGCTGAGGTAGGAAACACCTTCTCTTTGTCGCCCCACCCGCACCCCTCCAACATTATATCATTGTTGTAATGTGTTGTAATGTGTGATATACCCCTGTTAAGAGTTCTGTCCCGTGGATAAGTTGAAGAAAAACGAGAAGACAAGGGTTAAGGAATACTGATTTAGAGCAGTTATTTTGGTTCTTGAGTGAACTTAAAATGACTTGCTGTTTTAAAGTCTTGGTTGCTTGTCTGTTTTTTTTTTTTTTAAAAGATTTTATTATTTCCTTTTTCTCCCCAAAGCCCCCCGGTACATAGTTGTATATTCTTTGTTGTGGGTTCTTCTAGTTGTGGCATGTGGGACGCCGCCTCAGCGTGGTCTGATGAGCAGTGCCATGTCCGCGCCCAGGATTCGAACCAACGAAACACTGGGCTGCCTGCAGCGGAGCGCGCGAACTTAACCACTCGGCCACGGGGCCAGCCCCGCTTGTCTGTTTTTTTAATTGAAAAATTATTTGCAGACACAAAAATTAAAAATAAGTGGTCTAGTATCTCTAACTCTTCAGAAGAATGTTTTGAATAACACCACCTGGTTTTTTTGAAGTGAAATGTGGAAATCTTTTTAATGGATTTGAGCAGGGAAAAGAGTATTTTCCCTCTATTTTATGCTTTGAGGATATGGTAGAGGTTCTTGACCTGGAACTTTGGTAGAGTTTAAATGGTTTTCAATAGTAAACATGAACAGATGGCATTAATTACCACCACTTCTAGGAAGTATCCAGTTGATGTGTCCGTAATTCTCATTCTCCACATTTCAGTTTGACTACATATGTTTCTAGGAGAAGATCCCAGAGCCTAGAAAGCTAGGCATGTGGCTCGTGGGTCAGCTCATTTTCCTCCCTCTCTTGGTAACCTGCTTTAGCCCAGTTTACTGTGTGTACACTTAAGGAAGCTACTCTACACGTTTTCACAGGTGAACCAATATGGCTGCCATGCCAGAGGCAAAGTGTGGACTTTCTGGTCTCAGAGAAAACATTTGGAGATTTAAATTACTATGCCATAAGGCAAAATTTTAATCGATGAAAATGTAAAGTATTTCATGACTGCTGAGGGGGGCACAGTCCAGTATGACTTAGGTAACCATAGACACAATATTTACTCCCACTTTTCAATCACGTATTTTAAAATGTTAAAATGATAAAAAACATGTAATGAATTTCCCACTAGCCACCACCTCTATTATTTAAACTCAACTTACTTGAAAACTCTGCTATTAGGCTTTTTGGATCTCATTGAGATGCCAATCCAGTGATCCTACTACTTTTTCCACTACCCATGAGCCCCTACTGGGGACCTTTTCTGAACTTTTAGCCAACTGAAATTCCATGATCCATTCAAAATAATGTCATTTAACGTTTCCTCAGTTCCCTTGCCTCTCTTTACTACTGCTGTACCTGCCTGACAAAACCCCAGCCCTGAAAGATGCCAGCTATGAGCTTTCTCTGTGCCTGGCCCTGAGTAGCAGAATATTTCTGGAGAAATCCCGAGTTCAAGCTGCCGCAATTTAAAGTGATATATCTCCCTTGGGTTCTCAACACTGTGTAGCAATTCTTAGCTTTTTTTCAAACTGTCATCTCTTTTATCCCTCTTGCTTCTTAGCTCTTTAACTTTCTTTACGATGTGTTGAGATAGAAGCCTTTATATAGGCACTCCCTCATCTCTCCACTATCTACCCGGATTTTTTTGCTCTTCCTCTTACAATGGAGGAAGTGTGTTGTCTCTACCCCTGATTTCATGTGCCCCGGCTCCCATGCACTCACTCCTCAAGGCCCCTTGCTTACTCTTCCAACCTTCTCCAGTGCCACTTTCCCCCTTCCTGCCTATTCTTTAGATACACTGGCTGTTGCAGATCTTTTGGGCATTCCTCCCATATACCCCTGGCACTCACTATTCCCATGCATATTGACCTTTATGGCTTCCACTTGCAACTACCTGCAATTCTTGTTGGCTGCGCGCCCTGCTTGTTCCACTGTAAGGCAGGCTGAAAGTGCCAGAGAGTTAACACCCCCGAGGAGCAGCTTTCAGCTAATTCCTGACGCTAGTTGGTTGATAAAGACCCCAGCTTCTCCCACAGCTGGGATAAGTGAGGCAAGTTCTACATTGTCTCCTTGAGTTCCCCAATGTGAATGAGTCCTGGTTGCCCATAATACTACTGCTTGATAACCGCACCTTTCCTGATTCACTTTCCTCCTCTCCTACCAATGCTTTTTGGGACCCCCCCCCGCCCCCCCAATGAACTACTTGCACTCTCCTTGTATTCAAATCTTTATTGAGGATTGGCTTCTGCAGGAACCCAACCTAAGACGCAGCCATTTTTTCAACTCCCCAAGTCTCCTAAATTATGAATTTGGCTCATGCTGTTTCCTGTACCTGGAAACTTCTTCCCCTCACCTCCCTTCTTTGCATGATTATTTCATTCTCATCTTTCAGGTTAAAAGAGATCTTCCCTGACAATCCTAGCTAAATATATGCCTCTGTCCTGCTTCGTCTCACCATCTGAAGTGTTTTTTTCTCCTCAACTTTTTCCTGTTTCCTTAGTAAACAGGAGGTTCCATGAGGGAAGGGCCCGGTCTGTTTGTTATGTGATATGTCCCCAGTACCTGGACAAGTGCCTAGCATATAATGGTTTTGTTTTAAATAAACTTTTAATTTCAAAATAGTTTTAATTTACAGAGAAGTTGTGAAGATAGTATAGAGAGTTCCCATACATCCCACACTGTTTCCCCTATTATTAACATCTTATATTAATGGGCCAATATTGATTCATTATTATTAACTAATGTCTATGCTTTATTAAGAAATCAGTTTTTACCTGATATCCTATTTATATCCCAGGATCCCGTCCAGCATATACAACATTGAATTGTCATGTCTCCTTAGGCTTCTTTTGACTGTGACAATTTAAGAAAAATTAAATATTTTATTTTACCTTCATCTGTTCTTTCTCTGACACTGTTCATTTCTTTATGTAGCTCTAAGTTTATGACCTATATCACCTTACCAGCTTATGAAGAACTTCTTTTAACATTGCATGCAGGGCAGGTCTGCAGGTGACTAAATTTCTTCAGATTTTATTTGTCTGAGAAAGTCTTTGTTTATTCTTCACTTTTTTTTTTTTAATTCAGATAGGCAGGATAGACTCATAATCTTTTTCTTTTGCAGGGGAAGTTTCGCCCTAAGCTAACATCTGCTGCCAATCTTCCTCCTTTTTTGCTCCTTTTTCCCCACCAAAGCCCCAGTACATAGTTGTGTATAGTTGTAAGCTCTTCTGGTTCTTTTGTGTGAGCCACTGGCACAGCATGGCTACTGACAGATGGGTGGTGTGGTTCCACACCCAGGAACCGAACACTGGCCTCTGAAGCAGAGCATGCTAAACTGTAAGTGTTAGACCATCAGGGCTGGCTCATCCCTCACTTTCTAAGGATAACTTTACTGGACTAGAATTCTAGGTTGGTGGGGTTTTTTGTTTCAATCTTTTGAACATTTTCTTCCACTCTCTTATTGTTTGCATAGCTTCCAAAGAGAAGTATTGTGTAATTCTTATTCTTGTTCTCCCATAAGTAAGGTGTATTTTACATCTGGTTTCTTTCAAGATTTTCTCCTCTTTTGTTTTCTACAGTTTGAATATAATATGCCTAGGTGAAGTTTTTTGGTATTCATTTTGCTTGGTGTCCTCTGAGCTTCCTAGATCTATAGTTTGGTGT